AGCAGCCCCAGATGAGGAGCTAGCTGGGTTGGCAACTTGACTGACCTCTCTCCTTACATGGCCTAGGGGGTGCAGGATTACTGACTCTGTCCTCTCCTGTAAGCTTGTGGATTGGTGGCTGCCTTCAGGCCTTATGCTGGGCTGGCTCCTTCCCTGCTTCCCAGGCTGTCCTCTCTCAGGGGGCGGTTAAGGCTTAGAGATCCTTCTTCCCAGCTCCTGCCTGCAGGTAGACCCCTCTCCTGGGCCCCCTCCCAGGCTCCACACTTTAGCCTTCTCATTCCATCTTCCATCCAACACTGACCACTTCCTGATCAGACTCTCTCATACTTAAGGGCTGTCCTGACCCCATGCCAAGCCTCCTGGTTGGGGATTGGTCAAGATCCCTTAAGTATGTAGATCAGCCCCTTCTCATCCCCACCCACTACCTTCTAGAAACTTCTCAAATTTCTTGAGCAGGGGGAGGTATTGGGAACTGACCTGCAAAGCCTTCAGCCCTGACCTAAAGTTACCTAGCTGACTCATCCAAGGCTGACTCATACCAGGCTACTATGCAGCCTCTAACTAAAAAAACTAGCTATCTCCACCTAGCTAACTATAGGGGTGCAGCAGTAATATATTGCAGCTTACCAGTCATTATTCATGCAGTAGCTGAATCACATTTTTCTTTTTTTTTTCATGGTTTTTGTCCTTTATTTTTACCTGGTAATCCTGAAAATAACACAGTTCCTGTTAATCTACAGTGTCTACGCTTTTCTCTCCACTCCATCTATTGGGGTTGCCATGATTGTCACACAAGCTGGACTAAAATATATCTGCCTTTGTACATCTTCACTAAATAGTGGATTGATGGGACTAGTAAATTGCACCAGTGTTTCGCAACCTTTTTTTAAGTCACAGCACCTTTAAAAGTATGCAAATCTCACAGCACCCCTGTTTAGTGAAACTGACATGCTAAATTAAAAAAAAAAGTCCTGATCCGTGTTTTTTTACCCAAAGATAATCAATGCTTGCAGTGTCTGCTTGTACACCTTTCTTTCTCTCCTATTCAAGTTGCACTGAGATAAACTTTTTATGACAGTATAAGTACCCTGCAAGCTTGACCGTTCAAAACATTTTTATACCGTTGGGACAGCTATGTTATGACTGTATGTCCAAATGTCAGAGCTGTATTTAAGGTTTGTACTGTCCTAGGTACGCCAGAGTGGAGCTGTTCTTTTACGGAGAACAAATTAATGACTGCCCCATTGGTTCCAATTCTTATATGAATACTGTTACAAAAACTAAAATTAGCATAATTGGATCAGAGTTTTAATAATTAACCTTAAAACCATCTATCCTAGACACATCTATCCTGCTTAAACTATGTGATCCACCACAGGAAAGTAAAAAAATACAATACAACAGCTCCACCCAATCACAGTTTACAGTGTCTCATCAGAGTTCTCATTTACATCAAATCACTACAAATTGTAACTCTTTCAAATTCCTTGCACTGTATCATTCTGTCACAGGACCTTAAGGACTACCCATGTCTTCCTAATTTTATCTCAGAACAACTTGCACCTGACATCCTCAATCCCATCCCATCTCTCTTTGACCACACAGCATCCTGTGCCAAATTCCCCTCTTTATCTACATTATATGTCTTTGCTAGCATCTCTAGATCTAATTAGATTAGATACATTATGTGAGGTTGCAAAAGAACAGGGTTTCCAAAACAAGCTCCAGCATACCTGTTAATTCTTATTAATCTTGCACCTCAGCCTTTCTCAACCAGGGTTCTGCAGCCACCTGTGTCCTAATAAATGATGGCGTTATTGGTTGCTAGGACAGAGATAGACACTGCGCACCATAAAAACCAGGCAATGATACTGTGGAAACAGTTACTCCTGACCCAGTTTGTTTACTTTTTTCAAATTGGAATTCACTGTTGGCGGCACCTATGAAAAACTGTGGATAAGGGGGTACCACTAGTCCTCTTGTACGGGGCCCAGGCCAACAGGGGGGCCCAGGCAGTTGGGTGAATTGAATGTGGGAAGAGAGGGTGATAGGCACGGTGGGGTGTGTGCTTGCAGTTGCTGGAGGGAAGGAAAAAATGGAAGCCAACATTGTGGGGGCCCAGGCAGCTGGGTGAATCAGATGTGTACAGGAAGGGTGATCGGCATGGTGGGTGGGAGCAATTACTGGAACCGATGCCCTGTATGTCTCTCTGCAGCATCTGAAAGCTGGCTTCTTCTCCTCTCTCTCCTGCTGGTTTTCAGCTGCTGCAGAGAGAGTCATACAGGGGATTGGTTCCAGTAATTGCCCCCACCCTCCATGCCAATCACCCTTCCTGTACACATCTGATTCACCCAGCTAACTGGGCCCCCACAATGCTGGCTTTCATTTTCTCCTTCCCTCCAGCAGCTGCAAGCACACACTAGGATCCCTCAGGATGGAGAGTGGGGGAAGGGTCTGATAAATATTTTACACTAACCAACCCCTTCCTTTACTGAATTAAGATATTTGAGTGATCAGCACCGATCACTCACTGTGTTCATTCATAAATGAAGCATAGTAAACTGTGTTTTTTTTTTTAAGGGGGCCCTGTCAGGTTGGCTATATTGGGCCCCGTGTTTTCTAACAGAAGCCCTGCCTGGATGCTGCAATACCATTTGAGAAAGGCTGGTTTACACAATAAGGATAAGGTTTCTTGTGCTTTCTTTTACACACACAGAGAGTGACAAGGGCACTGCATTTATGGCAAGATCAATGGGTATTGAATGTACATGCAAAAAATTATATTAGCTTGAAATTAAAAAACTAATACAGCCTCCACATCCAAGGACTGGTAAGCTTCCATTTATTTTTTTTGTTTTTGTTTTTTGGGTTTAGATGTGCTTTAACCGCCCGTCATATAAGGTAATGACGGGCACAAGGTTGGTTCTCTCATTCTGGGAGGACGTCATATGATGTCCTCCCATTTTAACAGCGCATGCTTGGCTCTGGGGGGCACAGCACGGCAATCGGTGGTGTGCTGTGTTTCTTTGGACACAGTGGATCACAGATCAACGGAAAGAGCCGAAGATGACGGCTCGATCATGTGATCAGCTGTGTCCAATCACATCCAATCGATCATGTGATCAGCTGTGTCCAAATAGAGAAATGCCGGTTATCGGCATTTCTCTCCTCACGAGCTGTCATGCTGACAGCTCGAGAAGAGAAGAGAGCCGGTAATCAGCATTCCTCAGAGGGGACATGTGCACTGATCATCAAGGCAGTGATGATCAGTGTGCCCTGATGATCAGTGTAGCCCCAGCAGTGCCACCTGTCAGTGTCCATCAGTGCCAGCTGTCAGTGCCCATCAATGCCACCTGCCAGTGCCCATCAGTGCCTCATCAATGCTACATATCAGTGCCTACCAGTGCACATCAATGCCACATATCAGTGCCCATCTGAGCTGCCTTTCAGTGTCACCTATCAGTGCCAGTCAGTGCAATCTAATAATGCCAGTCAGTGCCACCTATCAGTGCTGCCAATCAGTGCCGCTTATCAGTGCCGCCTTTCAATGCCAGTCAGTGCCGCCTATCAGTGTCCGCCAGTGCTGCCTATCAGTGCCGCCTAACAGTGCCAGTCAGTGCCACCTAGCAGTGCCACCTATCAGTGCCATATGTGAGTGCTGCCTTTCAGTGCCCATCAGTGATGCCTGCCAATGCCCATCAGTGGCACCTACCAGTGCCTCCTCATCAGTGCCCATCAGTGCAGCCTATCAGTGCCCATCACTGCAGCCTCATTAGCGCACATCAGTGAAGGAGAAAAATCACTTATTTACAAAATTTTATAACAAAAACTAAGAAAAACATTTTTTTTTTTCAAAATTTTCAGTGGTTTTTGGTTTGTTTAGCAAAAAAATAAAAAACCCAGTGGTGATTAAATACCACCAAAAAAAGCTCTGTCTCAAATGATAAAAATTTCATATGGGTACAGTGTTGCATGACCACACAATTGTGATTCAAAGTGTGACAGCGCTGAAAGCTGAAAATTGGCCTGGGCAGAAAGGGGGTATAAGTGCCCTGTAGGCTAGTGGTTAAAGAAAGATAGTTAAAACAACTTTTATTTTCTGTTTCACTCTGGAGAAAAAAGTAGGAACATTAACAACTCACGTGGAAGCTTTTGTGCAGAGGAAAGCATGCAGCTTGATGTTCATTAGGAAAGATAAAATTATTCAGCAAACATAATTTTGCAAGATACAAAATGTACAGCAGAATCTGAAGCGTAAGTGAAGCAACTGAGCAATTTGTGACAAACCTGGAACCATCAGCCAGAGCCACAGATGTTGACTAAATTATTCATTATATAGTAGTATTTAGGAAAAAAAACATTTACTATAGAGAGAGAAAATGAGCAATCATTAACTGAAGGTGCTGACGTTGCTCTAATCAAAACTACAAATATTGCATGAATGCATGCAGCGACTCATGCAGAATTAAGATTCTTACTTGGCTCAAGTATGAGAAATAGGCAAGGTACCCACTTCCCACAACTAGATGTTGTAGCAGATGTAAACGACACGAATGACAAAATGTTCTGTGAAAACTCAGTTCAGTCATATATGCATAAAGAGCAATCGTTGTGTTACTATGCGTCACTCCAGCAATGTGAGGAATAATTAAACACCGTTCAGTGTACTACAGGTGGCACACCAATTGAAATGATCACATACTGTAAGCAATCTGTCTTTGTAAACTAAATTGCAAAAACTCAATTAGATTTAATTTTTTTTTTAAAACACATAATGGAAAATACAAAGCACATTAAAATTTTACCTGGTAAAATGTCATAGTCTGGAACAGGGGCGGACTGACAACTCATGGGGCCCCCGGGCAATAGGGGATCATGGGGCCCCTATGTCCTTGCCAAAACTCAAAAAAGCCTATGAAAAAGGTACCAGGGGCATCTCATGGGGCCCCCTACTGACCCCAGGCCCTTGGGCAGTGCCCAAGTTTCCAAATGGTCAGTCCACCCCTGGTATGGAATATACAGTATGTATGTAAAACCAAGAACTGTCAGAACTTTTAGCCCCGGTTCATATTATGAATCTTAGAGGAACGTGCAGTGCATTCCTATTCCAATAACATGCAATGCAGTGCGGTGCAGTTTGAGCCTATTAACCACTTGCCCGTCATCCTATAGCAGAAATACTGCTACAGGGTGGCAGAGCTGCACAAAATCACGTACAAATACGTGATTTTGCATTTCTGGGTAGGGGGCGTGCACGTGCCGCTTTACCCGTGCCGGCATTGGCAGCTACAACTGCCAATCACCGAGTCCCTGATGGTTATTCCCCGCCGGCATCCGGCAATCGCCAAGTATCACTGACGGAGGAGAGGTCTGTATGTAAACAATACAGATCTCTCCCCTGTCAGCTCCTGCACACTGCTTTGTATTGCTCCGCATAGCAGAGCAATACAAAGCAATGAGCTTACACACTAGTAAAACAGCACACAGCACACTGTTAACCCTTTGATCACCCCAGATGGTAATTTTGAATGTACCCAAATCACGCTGCACCCAACCAAAAGTTGTGTATTTCTTTTGGAAATGCACTGCAACCAGATCGCACTGTGTATTTATATCATACAATCTGGTACAGGCAAACACACTGCATTTGTGACCTGTGTTTGAGGTGTCATTAACTTAACATTGACACGCATTACAGATTGCAACTGCTGTGCCTTTTTGAACGTGGTGTGGGAAATGTGCAATGATCGTGGGTTTCCCGTACCATGTTTTAGTGTGAACTTAGGCTTAGAAGAACAATTACTACCAAAAACTCAAGCTTTAAACATTCACACAGTGGAGGGAAAAAGTATTAGTCCCTGGAGAGCCTTTTCATCTGAAAAACATGCACAATTCTGATGTAAACTTGTATCTCCAAAGACAGCATAGCCACCAAATAATTTCAGTGTGTCAGTGTCAGTGTTTGGGCAGGCGATCCACATCATGTGTCCACGGTAAGACAGACTGTCCCCAGGTGTAGTCGTCCAAGCTCAAGAGCACCAGACTCATCTGGCTTTTCTTGTGCCTGAGATCTACATTATATTATAATCAGGACAGTGACGTGGGTGGAGAAAACCAGCACAACATCTTTTCCAGGATCAACTCCATTGAGACTGAACATGGCGGAGGGAGCATCATGGTTTGGGGCTGCTTTGTGCATGCATTGATGGGGAAAAGTTTTTGCATTTTTTCGTTTTATTCATTTGTTAATTGAAGAATTGTTTTTGCCCAGGATGCATTTGTTAATGGACCCTATTTGTTTTTGGAATTCATTTTGTATATTTGGTATTCAGTTAATTTAATTCTGAATAGCCTGGTTATTAAGTAGAGTTGACCGTCGCTGTGTCTTTAACAAAACCATGACTGTTGTGCTGTCAGCAGGATTACCCCGCTTTGTCAGCAGAATGTAAGCAAAGGGTTTAAAAATTTTTTTGCAAAATAACACCGTAAGGCACCCCCCAGTCCATACCAGGCTCTTTGTTTGAATCTGCCCCTATGTTTACCTGTCATGCTGGGTGAGGGACATACCCAGACACTCGCCCAATCAGTTATTCATGGGGGCAAGGTCAACAGTGAAGTCACCAGGTGATCTCCACCCCTATGTTTACCTGTCATTCGGAGAGTGACGGGACATGGGACAGGTCATGTTTGGCGGGTGGTAAATTTTTTTCGTTTTTTTCGTGCAACTTGGTGTTCATCATGATTGACATTGGATCTAATTCAAAGGACATTTATTTTGAAGGGTTTAATAAAGGACTTTTAAAAAACTGTCTCTGTGTTTATTTTAATATTTGCCTTATTTTTTGTGAATGAGTAGGGAGTACTATGTTCCTCTTACTCAGTCCCATGGGGGGGACCTGGGGGCCCCCTTGTTAAAGGGGTCTTCCAGGTTCAAATAAGTCCCCCACCCACAGATGTGCACAATTACCGCCCAGGGCTGTGGGAAGGAAGCTCTTGTCCCCATCAACATGGGGACAAGGTGTTTTAGGGGGGTCCCATCCCCCAGAGCACCCTCCATATTGAGAGCATGTGGCCTGGATATGGTTCAGGAGGGAAGGGGAAGCTCACTTGTCCCTCTTTACTGCCCTGCCCTGAATGTTCTGATAAAGGTATGGTATGACTTTGGGGAAACCCCATATCATTTTTTTTATTTTGTTGTGGGATTCCACTTAAAATCCATACCAGACCTAGCGTGGCAGCACTGCTGAGCTATAAATGCATGACAACAATGAGCGTTGTCACCCTGGGACAGGAGGTGTGTTACTGGCAGAATCACCAGGTGAAAAAAAGTGATATTCCATTTTTCTTTTTGAGATTATATGTGCTTTTAGGATTAATTTTGGCAGTGCAGCAGGAAAGAGACCTGACCACCAGCTGCTGGATAGCTAAGGATTAAGATAAGCAATAATATAATAAATAAAACAAGAGATCATATAGTTCATAGCAGTTGTAATGTGTTTACAGTCCTCCAAGAATCAAGAGAAGCCTTTTCTCCCCAGGAAATTTGTGAAATCCACACAGATCCTCTTCTCACCACGAATTCTCCAGAGTTGCTCCAGGTTTTCATTGTGGTACAGTTGTTCTCATAGAATCACCTAAAGCAGGCCTTCACTCAAAGATGAAAGTACCAGTCACCCCCACTGCCCCCCGACACTAACAAATTTGAAGGTTTTTCTCTTAAGGGAGCACATACATTTTTCTGATATGTACCTGCTCCCACTTCCTAATTATACTTGCCCAGCAGAGAATGATGTCACCTTGAGCCACAACTCCTCCCCTGCCTGCAGGACCAGTTTTTCTGCACAATCTCAAACGTGCAGTTGGGGGAGGCTCTCTGTGAAATATTCAGGAAGTCATAGGACTTCCAAATCACAGGATCTGCCCTAGAAGAACTGTCTCTGGAGAAGACAACGCTAGACTCCATGGGCCAGTAAGTGTCCATTTTTTTAAAAGTCAGCAGCTACAGTAACCTTAAGAAGGAGCAAAAATCTTTTCCCTTCCTTGGGGGAATGTAGAAGTTGATTCAAGACTAATGGCAAAAGCTGAATAAGAATCCTTGTATTAATATAAGGCTAAATGAAATATATGCTTTAAAAGAAGAATGAAAAGTTATTTTGTTCCTATCACCTCCACCAGTAGATGCTTCACTCAAAAGACCGGCTAGGAATGTTACTTTGCCTAGGGAGGATGAGGTGGCATTTAAGAAGGCTCTAGTTCGCAAAACGGACCTAGACCTAAATGAGCTTATATAGAAGCAGGGGTTCCTTGCAAGCCCACAGTAACTCTGTTGGCAGTTGAAAGAGCAATCACCAGCTGAACTAATGCTGAAAAGCACTTTTGAAAGATGTAGACTGAGAGAAGATAGTAACAGCTCTTCAAGAGTTAAAGCTAGCAGGCAACTTTGTAGCTGAAGCATTGGTGGATATCATCAGGTGCTCAAAAAATGCTATACTGTCTCCAAAAGCATCCAGAAAAGAACTGTAGTGTAATCGCTGATTAGTGGATCCAGCCTCTAAATCAAAGTAATGTAAGATTTCATATGATTTTTCAAAAATTTTGGAAAATAAGCTTGATTCTGCAACTGGGAAGGTGACTGATGGTCATTCAGGTTTAATCCTAGTGGATAGGAAGCAAAGGCATCAGTCTTCATGGTCTTCAGTTAGGTGAGGTCAGTGCATAGACTTCTTCCACATCAGAACAATAAATGTGCCAGTTGATTGTGCCAGTTGAAGCTATATTATTGAATGTTCAAGATCTGGATAGAGGTTCAAAAGAAACCTCCAT